AGCCCAAAACCCTCAACCAAACCCTGAACCCTAACCCCTACCCTAAACCCGAAACCAAACCCTAAACAGTGGCTCCTCACTACAACTAGAGCGACTAGAGTGGATTCTACTCCAAAACAGTCTTCGAATTATTGCGGGCCATATTATCCTAAACCTTGAAACAAAAAGTCCGCATAACTAAGTTAACCCTAAACCCCTAAACCCTAAACCGCTAAACCCTAAACCCTAAACTAAATAGCTAGTTAGAGTTCAAAGAGACGGGACTCCTCCGCCATCTTCTCCTTCGGGTGGCGAGCAAAGGCACTTTGTGAGGTCGGAGGGGTTCCTGGTCTGGGCGCTCGGCGAGTCTTCGGCTTTAAAGTAATTTACCTGGACCCCAAAGTATGTAGCCCTAAGGGTCCATGTCTCATATAGTATATACATTGGCCTTATAGTACTCCCTATATAGGTACATTGGGCCCAAAGTATATGCTATATGGGTACATGGACCCTTAGTAGGTAGAAAAATAATAGCCTTTTTTATGAGCATTGGGCCATTATTTTACCTACTTTGGGAGGTTTAGGTAGGGGTTCAGAGTTTAGGCTCCAGGCTTCTGGGTGCGGGGCATACCTCAGCCCGGAATAACCTACCTTTCAAAGGTCTTATATATGGAAATCATAAGAGAGAAACCCCAAAGAGGTAGGTTATTTAGGGTCCAGCTAGGGCTTATAGGGATCAGGGTTCAGGGTTTGGGGAGTTTGTCTGACCATCATAGCAACAATATACCGGTCTGCGGAATTTCTGAAATTGTTCCAAGGGTTCGTTCTTATAAGGATCGTATAACGTACCGCAAAGGCCCGTTCTAACCTATATCGTTCGTATCCCATGGGTTTAGGGTTTATGGGGTTTAGGTCCTTGTAGTAGCCCTTGTACTAACCGCACAGCACCTCTGTGGTAAACGTCTGTTCGCCAAGAGCATTGTGTCCTCCCTTGTTCTGAATCTACCGGTCTGCCTTCCCTTGTGATGATCTCGAGCTTCGATTCGGTTGTTGAGACCTGAAGCATATAAGTCGTGGGCAGTACTCTCGAAGACATCGTCTCAAGTCGTGCTCGGCCAGCTATTTCTTGCTCTTGAACTGAGGTCTAGCAAAGCGCCCGTAAAATCAGCCCGAAGCGCGTTTTGCGTTCGAAGGAAGTCTCAGCCGTAGCGACCCAGCCGCCGGGCAATTCTCCCGGTGCGAGAAGCCTTGAACCTTTGCACAGGACCTAAGAGTGCCGCGTTTCCATTTCAATTCAAGGAGGACCATAAGGCCGTACAAAGGTTCAACACTCCGATTCTTCAGGATCTCAAAACTTTCATGTGCCCTGAGGCTGTTGTCCTGAAACCTTTGATACGGTCCTTTGGTCCTCAAGCTTAGTTTAGTCATTCGCCTAGCAAGGGAGCGTGCCCCCGCAAGCTCTTACGCTGCGGCTCCCGCTCTTTAACCCCGCCCCCCGGGGCTGCTGCGATGGGTCGTCCAAGGGCTCCCTTTCAGGATTTAGAGCCTGCCTTAAACTATAACTACCATATCCTGCTTGCGAGTGGGAACCCCTAGGTGAATCTTAATTACCTTATATACAGACGAACTCTGTAACAAGTAGGTTCGACAGTTCTGGTGATAAAGTTCGGATGAGCCTTTAATTAATTCCCGGGATCGTCTACCCTAGGCTCACAAGCATCATACTGCACCCTGAATCCCAAAGCTCCAATAATTACCCCAAGGACCTATCCCCAAACCCTCAATCCTACACCTGTCAGCTCTTATAAACGCCGGAATCTCCCATCCTAACTGCAATGCGCCTCAAGCACCAACCCAAAAACCTTATATAAACCAAGAAGCCATAAGAAACCTAAGCGCGGTACGCAGGCCAGTTCGTAATCTGTACATGTAACAGTATAAATCGTCTGACAAGGATCCAGGCGTCGCTCTTGCTCGGATTGCCGACTGCTTGCATAAACCCCTAAAGCCGCGAACCCCGAAGCCTAAACTTTCCTACGCCCTACCCCTCTAAATGGGAGTTTCCGCAAAGTAGGGATACCTTATTTTGGGGTCCTTAGAATAAGGATCCTACTATTTAGGGTATGGGAATAGGTTCCCCTATTTTCGGAAACCCCCAAATCCTTAGTCTGGTGAACCCTTCCCCAGCCGAGCCAAGCTTTCCGACTGAGGCCCCAAAAGCACTTCGCAGCAGACCCACCCCCGATTCCCGGAGCTGACACAGGGCCTGCGGAAAAGGTGCTACCTGGACCCTAAAAGCACGTAGAATAATAGCCTTTTATGGGTATTGGGCCATTATTCTACCTACTTGGGGGGGGTTTGGGTCGCTGGTTTCCCGATGTAGGGATTGGTTTGGGGCACGTGGGGTTTCGCATCTAGAGGGCCGGGTCTACGTGGCCTTGTGTGTGAGCTTGCGGGGTTCCTGGGGTTTTGAAATCCTGGCCATGTTTCGGCTACCTTACTGCAACTGTACGAGGCACACGGAGACCTCGTTCTAATTGTTAAGACACTGATTTTCGGTGCTGCTCTTGGATGTTGAGTTTCAGGTGTTATGCACATATACATATCACAACATCTAGTCTTCAATGCAGTTCTTTTGTCGGTTCGGTTCTTCTGTGCCACAGGATCCCGACCCAAAAGCAGCAAGCCCGAACAAAGAGCTGCCTCGAAAAGTATGTGTAAGGATTTGCTGCATCTCTTGTTGGCGGTGCTATCGTCGTCTATGGCCCAAGCACGTGGAGGGTTTCCCGCGAATCCGCGAGGCTTGCTTTCGGCGTTTGAATAATTGTTAGGTCTATTCCCTTATCGGTACATACAGTTCTACTATAATATAGAATTATACAGTCTGGTTTCATGCAGCACGATAACATAGCATGGCATAACATGGCAAATCAAACACCGTTTGGGTATAGTCTCCTATGTTATATAGTAGTATATAATGTTGTATGATTTCACTTTGTTGTACTAGATCATCCGGTGTTAGAGGTTAGTATGGTGTAACTGTGTTTTTATTTCCATCACACTATAGAAAATAGTATGTTATAAGATACCGTGTTATACTACAGGTTGCAATGTTGTGTTATGTTATTCTAGTGCAGATTAGTTTAAGCAGTATAACATGAACATGATCTCTTGTTATACAACCTTCTACTAGAGTATACATTATACGCTGTTCATTAAGTACCATGTGTCTTGTGCTGTGTATATGCCATGTTTTATTATGCCGTATCAGACTATAACGCGTTGTGTTGCATTTTTTCTACATATTCTGTTTCTGTATGGATATGACTATATATATATACATACATGTATATACATATACATATATATATATATGTATATATATATAGAGCATATTTAATACATATTCTTCATGATGCATCTTATTGTTTGTTATATTGTATATTGTATGCAAAGTACTGTATCACATTGCAAAACATCAGGTCGTTCCATATTGCCCTGTCACAGTACACCATATCACTCCACATTACATCTTGTTCTACCATTACATGGCTTACTCTGTCAGTATCATCTTATGCTGTAGTATTGTTTCGATTGTGTAATATATGCTATGTCCTATCATCTTGCAGTACGAAATATTGTAATATACACAGTATATCATTTTCGTCGCCTGCTTTCAAATTTCAAATCATGTTCCATCATAGTCATGCATATGGCATCATACTCTATTTTGTACTGGTGTAGCATATTGTATTGCATCATGGTGTGCTCTGTTCCGGCCTTTTCCTGTCATGTCTATTCGATTATACTACGGATTTCGAGGCATGTTCTGCTCTGGTTACAGTTGGTTGATATTGTTTGGACGTTGCATTGATGTCGCCATATGCAGTACTGAACGGATGGGCATCAGGGGTCCACCCGGATGCCAAAGTCCTATGCGCCTCCCGAAAGCAAGCAAGGAGGTTCTATCGCGAGCAAGGAGGTTCCATCGTGATCACCAGAAGGTCTGAGCCACCAGCGCAGTACGTGACAACATACGAAGGACGTTGGAAGTGGATACTGTCACACAATACCCCGAGACCATATATTCAATTTCCCTAAAGCCCTGAACCTGAAACTCCTGCAGGATGTGGCATGCCGCAAGTTCCTCGGAGCACCTCCGGGGTTGGGCGAGCATGAACGCCTCTTCCCCTGCAGTGGTGGAGGGTTTAGGGTGTCGAATTTAGGGTGTGGGGAATTTGGAAGTTTTTTCTGTTGTTTTTGGGATTTTTTTTTTGGAGTTGACTTGATGTTCTCAGGATCTGTAGGGCTGAGGATGTGCAGAGTGTGGGAGTTTCGGAGTTGGGCTCTGATTTGAGGGGCCTCAGATTTTAGGTTCGGTAGTTTAGAGTTTAAGGGTTCAGGGTTGGGGGTCTAGGGTTTGGGGGTTTAGGGTTTAGGGGTTTAGGGTTCAGGCTTTAAACTTTTGGGTTGGGATATATGATATATTCAGGGTTGGGTTTCTGGAACGTACTCATGGTTTCTGTGCAGCAGTGGCGGAGGGTTTTTGATTTACAGGGTTTTGGGGTGAGGCCCATATTCTGAACCCTCTAATGTAGGAACCTGAATAAGAAATCTTGGGCCTTTATTGGGCTTCCCTTTACGAAACCGACTATGCTGGGGATATAGAGCCAGGGTTTTCTGAATCAGGTTCCTGCATTACCCTAGACCGAAGGGTCAACAGTTACACTTTAGCTCTCGTGTTGAAGGCAGCCCACATGCCACCCTACGGATACCATTCCTTATCATGCGCTGTTACTAGCTATCCGTGGTTGCTATCCCAAAAATGCTAATCCTCAAACCTCAACCCCCCCAATCCCTAAACCCTCAACCCTCAAACCCTCCAAGCCCTAAAGCATGACTTCTCCGGAGGCAGGCAGCCGACACGTGGCTTCTTGCAGGGCTCCCTCAAGCAGCACAGGGGTCGGAACAGTTCAGATTAGTCTCTCCTTATCCATACATAGTTTGACATAGTTCTACTATATAATATACTATTCTAATCAGTAAGGCCCTTGCTTTAGTTGAGTTTGTCGCCGGCGCGGGATGGAAGGCCCAGAGTTTGCGGTGATGCCCATGTCCGATTTCCCAGATCCGAAGTCCCCCACTTCGGTGTCATGTGGTGCACCTGAAGGCTCAGACGAGGGTGAGGCAGAGGCTGTCGCCGGGAATATGGTTGAAACGCTGGCCCAGATTGCAGGCAGCCTGGAGTTTACAGACAAGGAGCTTCTTCGTGCTGTTCCCGCCGGCCGAGCCCTCCTCGGCTTTGGCCGTATGTTTCGAATAAGCAACATCAGTCCTTCTCTGCTTTACAGCACAAGTGGTCGTGTCGAGCGGATTGAAGAGTTCTGGTCGCACAGCTGGAGAGCTCCGGTGTTTTGGAAGGTTTGGTTCTTTCTCATGCTGAAGAACGGGAAGGCCGCATGCATCGTGGGTTCCATTGCTGCCTTTTTCATGGCGTGGCTGACGTACATTGACGCTCTGCCGGGCTGGTACATGTTGCCCCTCAACACCCGACCGGGATTCGAGATCGAGCATCCAAGCAGCAGTTGGGGGTTCTTCTACATCAAGCTATCTTTCAAGACAAGTCGTTATCATTAAACCCCTAAACCCCACCAGAGCAAACCGTAGCGACTCTTCAGGTCCCTCCATCTGGTCACACGGACATAAGTGACCGCAAGGGTTTTCGGTAGGCACGTTGTAGTAGAATGGGCTCTAAACCCACGCCTGCCAGCAAAATCAAGCAATGTTCATTCCATATGCTTGTTGAAGTGGCGTTGCACGTTTTCTCAGCGGACCTTCCCTAGCTGAGCCGGAAGCGCATCCCAGCATCAGTGCGGCGCTTCTTGCGCACAGGGGCGCAATTGAATATGGGCCCCTGGAACTTGTGGTACCAAGCCATCGTCAAAACTGCGGAGTTGCAAAGAAAGTTGTTGGCATGAGAACGAAGAAAGCAACCCCCCCTTCCCCCCATGCCTCCCACTCCCCCCCCTCTTTCAAGCAAAGCAAAGTTCTGCCGTAGCACCGAAACCGCAAAACCTGCAGAAAAGCAGAAAAGGGGCGTCCGGATACGGACGTGTTTCCCTATCTAGTCAGGTTTTCCCTACACGGGCCGGGGTTCGGCAGCAGTACTAGGGCCAGTTACTAGGGTTTAGGGTCTAGGGTAAGCATGGGGTTAGGGGTATAATCAAGGGGATGTGATGCTATTGTGTTGCATCTACGACAGGCACAGACATAGCCCCTGGTGCCTTATTACCGGATTGGCATTTGCTTTCCTTACCTTGGTCTTCTGGCAGTCCTCCCACCCAGTGTTTCTGGATCGCGCTTGCATTCATCAGGGTGATCCTCGGCTGAAAACAGAAGGCATCTTGAACATCGCCGCATTCCTCAAGGCATCCAAGTCTCTCGTGGTCGCCTTTGATGAGACCTACTTGTCGAGGACTTGGTGTGTGTTCGAAATTGCAGCCTTCCTCAAAAGTCATGAGGGTGAAAGTCCACCGCCTGTGGTCATCAAACAAATCGCGGTCGCACCGACCACTTTCTACTTGATTATCATGGTGGCGCTGGTTCCTTGGCGTTCTTCTGGTTGACTCTTCGGACTTTTTAACTTTTTGGGCTTCTATATGAGCTATAATAAGGAGGCTAAAAGTTTAACTTTTAGGAGGGGTTCAGAAGTCAGCCAAGGTTCTGTTGTACACGTCATGTCTACCCGCGGCGGGTTATCTCATCTACTTGCAGCTGGCGTTCATGGTGGCCTTCGCGGTGACAAATCAATTCATGTTTTTGCAACTGTGCCAAATTGCTTTGGATTGAGCGTTGTCGAATTATTGGCGGTTTTCATAGGCCACGTCGCTAGAGCGTTGCTAACGGGTGTCTTCAAGCCAGAATTTTCAAGCTCCTTCCACCACGGACTCTTTGCCATCTAGTTGGAAAGACCTCGTGTGAATCACGCACATGACCTCAACTCTGTCTTCATCATTGCAAGCAATTTACCCAGCCAGGGTTTTGGGGTTTATAAGGTTTAGCCTCACCCCCGAAACCTGAAACGCCCAATGTCTAAGCTGGTCCTTGGAGCATTGGCTACCTAAACCTTGAACCCTTAGCCCTTGATGCTATGACTACTTGCAGAGCACCCAAGGCGAATGCGGCGAAGTACTCTCCGAGCAGAGGAAGATCTCAAAAACTTCCGGTGGGAAAACTGCACATGCCACTGTTGCTCCGAAGGGTAACTTAGCTGCTTCTGTTTGGTATACATAAGCCTGTATATATATATATATATATATATAATTATATTATATTATAGCATATTCTACTGTATGATATGATATGATATGATATGATATGATATGATATGATGTGATATGATGCGATATGATATGATATTAGGTTATATTGTATTATATTATATTATTTTACATTATATTATATTACATTATATTACATTATATTATACTTTATTATGTTATATCATATTATATCATATTATGTTTTATTATATTATTATATTATATTATATTTTAATATATTATATTATATTATGTTATGTTATATTATAGTATATTATACTATATTATATTATATCATAGTATATTATACTATATTATATCATGTTAGATTAGATCAGATTAGATTAGATTATATTATATTAGATTATATTATATTAGATTATATTATATTATATTATATTATATTATATTATATTATATTATATTATATATTTTATATTATATTATATTTATTATTATATTATATCAGATTATATTAGATTATATTACATTATATTATATTATATTATATTGTATTATATTATATTATATCATATTATATCATATCATATCATATCATATCAAATCATATCATATCATATTATATTATATTATATTTTATTATATCATATTATATTATATGATATTATATTATATTATATTAAATTATATTATATTATATATTGTTATATTATAGCATATTATATTATATCATATTATATCATATTATATTACATTATATTATATTATATTATATTATAGTATAGTATAGTATATTATTTTATATTATATTATATTTTATTATATATATGTGTGTGTGTTTATGTAAACACCGTTATATGTACACACACACATACACGCATGTGCACACACATATGAACCCATAGACGTAGATGCATACATACGGACATACAGACACACAGACATACAAGCATGCATGAATACATACATAGCTACATACATACAGACATACGTACACACTCATGCATACATGCATACGTACGTACATACGCATACGTACGTACACATTCACTTATTCATGTCCGTACTTGCTTACTTTGCGTGTATTCAAAATAGAACATACATGTATCAATTTATATATATATATACATATATACACACTGAGTATATACACTGCTGATTTTCCGTATATGCACACATACCAATGTGTGTATATATATATACATATTTGTATATACATATGTGCAGGAGACAAACTTTACGTTTTGATATCCCGTACTTACTTTTCCCCATGCCGCAGAATCGACATGTGGCTCTGAGAACCTAAACAGAAAACAGCGAAGGCTTACTGCATCTTGATTGCTAAGGCACGAAGTGGATGGCGTGGCAATTCCGTGTGACAAGGCAGTCTTGGCAGACTGCATTGCCGGGTGGTTTGGCTCAGTCGAAGCGTTCGAGAACTGCGTCAAACGCGACGTTCGTACAACATTCATGCGAGAACTACGCCGGCAGCCTGTCGGGTATCAATGGTTACTGGCAGCATCGACTTTTATTCTCTGGGGTGAGGCAGACTTGGCCTTAGTGCGGGCAAGCTCCGGAGATTACCACTACGCCGCATTTCTGGCGGCGTATGGCTTAGCTTGGTGGACTTGCGTTGTCCCCGCGCAATTTGCCATTTTTACAGCTGTTGCCGGATGGCAAGACGGCGGGAGGCTTCCCATTTTGCGGGGCATGATTGGCATTTCTGCAAATGTGCTCAACGTACTCCTTCCCCACATTTACCAATACGTGTGCTGGAGGCTGCTCCTTCCTAACTATGTGTTGGCATTCATTGTGATTTTGTTCGGCATTGTTTTTGCGGCTCTGGCAGCGGTCTGGCTGCTTCAGAAGCCCTGCCACAGGAAGAAGCAGACTGTAGAAAAACATGCGGCCTGAGACCCTCAGAAAACGAGAAGGAATCCCTTTGCCTTGGTCTGTGTAGACATCAGACAAAGGCGAGGGGGTTTAGGGTTTAGGGTCGACAGGACTTTGTGCGATTGACTTCGTGCCGTGCAGGCTTGGCTACATGTCAAGAACAGCAGTGTCCCATAGCACATGCGACAGCAAGCCGTTCTAACAGCCTTGCCTGGTTTGTGGAAGATGCCTCCGTGATTCGGTGGAAGCCGTTTTTTTTGCCAAGAAGCTCGCGCTCTGACGGAGAGGGTCATTTTATGTCATGATTGTGATGCAGCAGTGTAAGGTTCCGCCTGGTAACATGAGTGGGCATGAGCTTCATGGCAGCATGCTGTCTGCATCAGCTGAAGATGTGGAAGTGTTGTGCTTCATGAAGGAGTTCGGACAATCCGACAGCTATTCCTTGACCTCCCTTGTGCTTGTAAGGGGTGGAGAATCCGGAGAGTAAGACTCTCCCTCGTCGGACCGCTCTTCACTTCGCAAGCACGCCTGATGCAGAATTTTTCGAGGTATGCCTCCGAAACCGCTTTTGCTAACCTGAACAAAAAGGAAGCCTTGCAGTTTGGTGCAACCCATGCACTTGGGATATGTTCGAATCCTGCCCCCAGAAGAGAAAGCATAGTATTTTGTGTATTTCACGGGAAACCCTGAACCATGCTCCTGTGCTGCCGGGAAGCGCACGGCTGGCAACCATCTTGCTTATCCAGCGAGAGTTAGGCATGTCCCTTCATGCTAGTGCCGGGAGCACTCACGATCCTTAAACCTTGGATTCCAAAATGTTGGATTAAGGCTGTCGCTATCGACATATCTTCCCAAAACCTAGATCCTGAGCATAAAAGCCCAACCGTACTACGTTACAAGGAGGTCAGAGATTCTCAGTGGAGCCCTGTGCAACAGTGAAAGCAGTCAGTTCCAACCTCGGATCTCTAGCACACCCGGTCTACATAAGCCCTACCTGGACCCTAAGGAACCTGCCTTTTTAGGGCCCCCTAATATGATTTCTTTCTATAAGTCCTTAAAAAGGTAGGTTATTTGGGGTTTTGGTATAACGTACAGTAAGGTCGTATGGGAGTTTTTGAAATTTGGGGATCCTAATATAGTCCCGTAAATAGTAGGATCCCCATTTGGAGGATCCCAACATGGGGTACCCCTATTTTCGGATACCCCCGTATGAGGGCCTAACTAGTTACTTTTGCTACTCCTTAGAACTCCTTGTTATACGTGTTGTACCTGTAGTTATTTTCCTCCAACAGCGTGTCCTAGTTGCTAAGGGGGCTATGTTATAAGCTTTATAATCCCAGACTGGAAGCTCGCTCGATCAATTCTCTGCATGCCTAGCTCCAAACCCCTCCCCCCCCACAGGTATGTAGATAGATACACAGACACAGAAAGAGAGAGAGAGAGAGAGAGAGAGAGAGAGAGAGAGGGAGAGAGAGAGAGAGAGAGAGAGCGAGAGAGTCCTTAAACCACCAACCACAAACTCAAAATCAAAGCCTTCCACACTATGGAATCGTGAGGTCGATCTGCAGACCCTCGCTTCGAAGCATTGCGATGGATCCAGGATTCCAGCTGAGAATATAGAAACCTGCTGGTTCATGTTGTAAAGGGAGATAACTAGAACGGGGGGTGTGCATAGGGCGCCGTGTTGCTTGGCAGCCTTAAAAGGCAAGGGAGTCGATGTTATTGGCACGACACCCAGAAAAAATGCAGTGTTGTAGCGCCTTCCTGAAGCTACTGCAAGGTGGACACGCTAGAATGTTGTTAAAGCCCAACCTAATCCCGAGCAGGCTCAGTCATATGGGGGCCCGGACGCTAACTACGCACACCCCGATATCATCAAACCTGAAGCCTTAAAAAACTAAACGCCCGGAAAAGAATAATAAGCACACAACTAGACGGCATTACTCTAGCATCTTCGTGCGCCGCTGGCGAGGAAAGTCACTTTGTGAAGGTTGGAAGGGCACTCGGCATGTTTGACCATAACAATAGCAAGAATATACAAATCTGAAGAACTACTTCAGTTGCTCCTTAGGACTCGTTATTAACATCACTCTGTAATGATCTCCCCAAACCCCGTTCGAATCATCAAGGCCTATGTTAGTATCGGATTTAGAGTTCAGGGTTTAAGGTGTCGACTGCTGTAATGGCCACATCCCGTAGCTGACACAGTGCCTGCGGAAAAGGTGTTGCGCTTCCTGTGGGGTTGCGGATGTAAAGTGTAGTCTTGGGTCGGGTAGGGGTTGGGGGATTTGTGAAGATAAGGACCTTAACTTGTAGGGGGGAGGTCATAACAACGGATCCTTGGGTTTCAAGTGTGTGGTTCAGCAGGTTGCTGTTATCTGGACCCCAAAAGTATGTAAAATAATAGCCTTTTATGGGTATTGGGCCATTATTTTACCTACTTCGGGAGGTTTAGGAAATACCTATATACCGATTATACTTTTTGAGCATTCCTTCTTATGGTTATCTTAAGTTATATTGTAATACGGCCCATAACCATAATCCTAAACATCCCTAAACCCTATAGGCCTTGTCTGGGCTCCATGGTCTTGGGTTCGAGGTCTCAGGGTGCAGCGTTGTTCTGGATCAAGGCCTTAAGCCCTGGAGTTTCCGGTAATATAGGGGCCTTAACAATTACCTGTACTATTTTTTTTTGGGGGGGGTAGTGGGTCCCCAAAACCCTGTTCGAATCATTAAAGCCCCTATAGGAGATCTTGCGCTTCAGGTGTCGTTCATTGCAGTTCCTTTGTGGCCTGGGTTCGGGTGTTCTGTGTTGCACAAGACTGGTGAGCCCGAACAAGGAGATGCCTCCGAGCGCATATGTAAGTGTTTGCTGCATCTTGTCGTCATGTTTGGCTCAAGCAGGTGGAGGGTTTGCGGCGTGAGGCCTGAATCCTTACCCCTTGCTTTAGGCAAGGGAATTGTTGCTAGCTCTATTCTTCGATACGAATATATAGATACCCTAAGACCCCTTATAGGGCCCTTATCGGACCCACAAAAGGAACCCCTTAAAGGAACCCTATTCCCGACTAAGAGCCGGCTGCAAATTCCAACCCGTCCCCCCGCTCCCCTGCTTCGCATCCAGAAGCCTTTCATGGTCGCAGGCTCTCCGGCCGACCTGGCCTAGGAATGGTTCCTTAATAAAGTAAATACCATAAACCACGACATAATAGCATACATACATAGACGGACGGACAGACAACAGGCAGACAGAGAGACAGACGGAGAGACAGACGGACAGACCGACAGACAGACAGACATACAGACCTGCTATTTTGTTCTTTGTTCATGTGCTCGCATCCTACATTTGACGTTTGAATCCTAATAGGGCCTCGACCAGAGTAGCAGCGAGAGCTCATGGCGCTGGCCTCGAGGTCGGGGAGAAGCGGTTTAGGGTTTAGGCTTTTCAAGTTGACTGTTGAGTTGAGGGTTTGAGGATCTTTGGGCGGTGGGCTTTAGGGTCTGGGGTTCAATTTTTATTCATAGGAGTCGAGTGAGTCGAGTGGTCTGGGGGTTCAGGAATTTATGGCCTTGAAGGCCTTATGACTTTGACTTGTTTCGGTCTGTATTCGCGTGGTTAAGCTTCCCCGAAAGCGTCAACTCACATCGCGAAGTCAGGTTATGTAGGGTTCCGTCCAAAGACTCAAACAGCCCGGTGATGAAGAATAGACCTCAAATCAGTATATTTAAGGGTATGTCTATCGTTGTACATGTGTATATATATATACATACATATATATATATATATGTATACATATACATATGTTATTGATCTGTTATCTGTGTACACACACATATTATATACATCTATATAAATACATAACTATATAAATATATATATATATATATATGGTACCCCCCCCCCCCCATTGACCTACCCTTTTTGGTCTTTTTGAAAGGCAAGGGTGGGTCGGGGCGGGGTGTACCCGAATGGAGCGGCGTTCCCAAAGACCTAGTTTCTTAAAAGACTCAATCTTTCGGAGGTCGAGGGAGACTGTATCCAAAACCAAAAAAATTCAGGCCTCGCAGCACCTTGGAACTCTGGGCGCTGCAAAACACTGACAGGCCTCAATCTTTTGGAATCCCGAACCTCAGAAAAATTGAGGCCTCTCAGTGTTTTGCAGCTTCCAGATTCCAAAACACTGAGAGGCCTCAATCTTTTGGAATCCCGAACCTCAGGCAAATTGAGGCCTCTCAGTGTTTTGCAGCTTCCAGATTCCAAAACACTGAGAGGCCTCAATCTTATTGATTTTTAGGCTAGTTTCCCAAGACCTCCAAAAGATTGAGTCTTTTGAGTCTTTTGGTGCCTCCCAGCGTTTTGGCTTCAAAACCATAAAAAGATTGAGGCCTCTCAGTGTTTTGCAGCTTCCAGATTCCAAAACGTTGAGAGGCCTCAATCTTTTGGAATCCCGAACCTCAGAAAAATTGAGGCCTCTCAGTGTTTGCAGCTTCCAGATTCCAAAACATTGAGAGGCCTCAATCTTTTGGAATCCCGAACCTCAGAAAAATTGAGGCCTCTCAGTGTTTTGCAGCTTCCAGATTCCAAAACATTGAGAGGCCTCAATCTTTTGGAATCCCGAACCTCAGAAAAATTGAGGCCTCTCAGTGTTTTGCAGCTTCCAGATTCCAAAACACTGAGAGGCCTCAATCTTATTGATTTTTAGGCTAGTTTCCCAAGACCTCCAAAAGATTGAGTCTTTTGAGTCTTTTGGTGCCTCCCAGCATTTTGGCTTCAAAATCATAAAAAGATTGAGGCCTCTCAGTGTTTTGCAGCTTCCAGATTCCAAAACGTTGAGAGGCCTCAATCTGTTGGAATCCCGAACCTCAGAAAAATTGAGGCCTCTCAGTGTTTTGCAGCTTCCAGATTCCAAAACACTGAGAGGCCTCAATCTTTTGGAATCCCGAACCTCAGAAAAATTGAGGCCTCTCAGTGTTTTGCAGCTTCCAGATTCCAAAACACTGAGAGGCCTCAATCTTATTGA